GTAGAAGGCGCAGAAATCGGTTTCTCGGCCCAGCTTGAGACTCTAAAAAGACCTCGAGGGGACGTGGGCTTCCCACAGAGGACAGGGTCGCAGAATCCTTGTTGGCTCCAAACGAGTGCGAGGAGGTGCTGATGCAACGGCGTGGTACAGCGGCTGGGGCCAGGTTACGGAACCAGCAAGTTCGGAAGAGAGACGGGCTCAGCTGCCTCCCTGTAAATTGCTACTAGTCGCAGCTGCAACTGGCTGAAACCGGAGCCGTTCGTGAATCACATGATTGGCCTATTCCATTGTACATCTGTCGAGGATGGCAGCCTGATGTAGGGGCGGCGGAACATGCAGCCATGGCAGTTCGAAGAAGTAAACATCCTTGGCCGTATTTTGGCCATGGGAGCCCAACCTCATTCCGAAGTCCTTGTACCGTTGTATTGTGTAATGGAGTGACCAGAGGTCGATCATAGGCGCCACCGACGCGGATCGGTGATTCGGGCTTCTTGTTTCTTGCTGCTTGGCCGTGATACCTAGACGGCCATGTTGGGTTGTTGTCTACCCTTTTCTAGGCGTCAACGTTGGCCATTGATATCGAATGTAATGGAACCGAGGCGTCTGTCTGAGGCGCCTGTGTCTAGATTCTGGTTGACAGAGCCTGAGCATCTAGTTGCGGAACCTACTCTTGCTACTAGTTCCCTCATCGTAGGAAAACGAGACATCGTATCGAGATCCCGACGAGATATTGGACAGGAGACTTGGTTGAGGTTGGGTATCTAGCGGATCACGAGCAGAAGCCGGAGTATCGAGGGGACTTTGGTGATCAGAATCGGGCAATGCAATTGACACTAACATAGCAAATCAATACCATGAATGAAGCTGTTTACACGGAATACCCTAGGAAGTAACTGTTGCCCGAGACTGTCTTGGGGTTCGCTTGTAGGGGGGGGCTTGCTCGGCTAATGAGGTTGAAGTATAGAAGTGCCAGCTCAGATGGCGTTTTTTTCCTTCTTTCAATTTCCCTTCATTTGATGGAAATGAAGAAGATGGGCGGGAAAGAAAAAGAAAGTAAAGAGGAAACAAACGAGAACCTAGAAGACCAGAGGAGCTGAAACATATATAATATTATGGAGTGACAGAGATGATATCGTGTTGGCTTCGACCATGCCGGCGGAGGCAAATCACATCCAACATCGTTTGAAACATCGCTCTCGCACCACCGCACCAAAGGCTTCCTTCCGTATTTGGACGAGAGAGGGTAGACAACACTCCAATTTGAGTGGAAGTAAAGTAGTATGTCTAGAACAGTGTCCATCTGCCGGGCAAGCGGCGCAACCTTTCCCATGTGTATGAGGACCGGGGAACAGACAGGCGGTCAATCCAGCGGTCTACCTATTGGATCCTCGTGAGTAAATGCTCGGGTAGGGGAGAGCTTCATCGACAAAGTCTTCAGGGATGTATAGCTCATGGGGCGGCTGGTTTGGATGTCCTATGTCCACTCCATGTACAAAGGTGCAGGAACGAAGTAGCGGGAACCCTCGTAGCTTCATGACTCGATTTTAGTGGCATTTGGTGACAGGAATAGCACATGTTTTCGGCTAGAAGCACCGGGGATACATCCCTGCGGTTCCCATCCGATGGCTATGCGACCCATACGGAATCTTCTCTGGGTGTGTACTGTACGTTAGTGAAATCCCAGGATGTTGATCCCTAATTGATCGTCATCATTATGAGAAGCACCCATGGTCGATGTGGCATGTCGAAAAGCAGACTTCTCAAGCTAAGGTTGCTTGGATCTGACCGACGCAAGCCTCAGAACGCCACTTGGCTCACCCGGTGAACAGGGAGAGGGTTGCCCAGTCCACTCGTAAGATTGCTGGTGGTAGAGTACGGGTAAAGAAAGGCCACATCAGCCAGTCACATCAGGTGTCCCGGAGTCTCGTCGTCCCGTGAGAGCGGCCCAAGCAGATAACATTCTGGGGTCGCATTGCCATTCGTCAGACGGATAATGCTACCTGCACGGTGTGGCCTGTGGGAAGCACAAGCCGTCTACTCTGCACATAGCGAAGCTGTGGTATGTTTGGCTCTGGCCTTTCTGCGGATGGCCGTCAATGGATATTGCGGTCCTTTTCTGTGACGGTTGTTGGTCGAGATAGTCTTGGCGAGCAAGAACCAGCCAGAATGGCTTAGTCAGCACATCCCCTAACCTCCTCAGCTTCCCTTCCTTGGTCGTGCCTGCCAACTTTGTAGCGTGCTGATACCAGGGCTGGAGCTATGGACCTCATAATAAGGTAGATACATCCCGCGGCTATCTTGGAACGGGAGTAGTTCCTTCCCCACATATCTCAATCCTTCCATTCTGGGGAAGGAACAAGTGAGCTGGAGTCCTCACTTCAGGTTGTGATTTTCATTTGTGAGAGAAGCAAAAGGCCCGTCGTCCCATTTGATGGTACGATACAGGATCATAGCTGAACATCCCAAGCGGAGTCGTTGTTGGCGCTTCTTCCCCACCAGTCACTGGCTTGCCTGGGCCCTTCTTATCATGCCACTCAGGCTCGCTCTCGGTCATTATCCATTATGCACGGCGCCCGATCTCTGCAGTGTGTGTGCTATGACCCTCTGGCGGCCAACAGAGACCGGCCTGGTACGCAAGCCATCGTCACATTGCTCACCCAACCACCATTCCAAATCGTCTTCGGATGCGACTTGCCAGCTGGCCTACTGCAAACAACTGGGGCCTGCGCAAAATACACCGGTCCGTCATTTCATTTCTCACATGTGAGCCGCCTTGTTCCATGCTGGACAGTCTGCGGCTCATTGGCAAGGGGTACCGTTGGCTTCCTCGACTCTTCCATAGGTAAGGTACTATTCTCGCATCCCATGCTGCTACTAGACTAGTTCGACTAGCAGACGCCCATGCAAGCAATTCTGCAAATCACCATCAAGGGGCTTACTTTGATCGTTCGAGATTGGTTCTATCGCTCTCACCGGTCCCACTGCCTCTGCCAAGAAGAGCGCATACTGGTCCTGTCGGCCGTCTTGTGTTACCCTTAATATGCAATTCTCATGCATATGATGTTCCCTTGATGCCCTATTAGTCCTCATTTGCCCCTCGGAACACACACACACCCGTTGGGCTCTCTATATCCCCGGCTTTCCAGATCGTCTCGTGACCAGCAATTCTAATCTCCCAGCTTACCACTCTGTTGATGGCATCTGCATGAGAGTGTGACACCGACCAAGATGTGTGTGTTCTTCCGTGACAATACAAGGAGCTGGTCAATCGCTTCGCCAGCCCTCTCATGCAATGCGTCGGAAGCAGGCAGCCTGGGGACGTATCCGGCTTCCTCGTGACGGCGAGCGACATGCTGCAATGTGTCCGTGCGTGGAAGCTTGCTGCACACAAATACTACCTAGGTAATTGCCATTTAGGATCTGATCTTCTCACGATATGCATCGGGACCAGTGGACCAAGGGTCTCGGCTCGCCGATGGGAGGAACAACGGAACGAAACCATGCCTCAGCCAACGATCCCAGGCCAAGCAAGGGTGGATGTAGCACACGCTTCTCTCTTTTGCACACACTCTCTCATCAGCTCGGCTGAGTATGATTCGGAAGCCATGTGTGACAATGAGCAACAAAACACCTCATTCTGCACCCCCCCCCACCCATGGCTGCAACCCTGCGCTGAGGCCTTGACCCAAGGCTCTGTCTGTTATGTGCCCGACAAGCCAGCATAAGCAATGATGCAAGATTCCCACCTCAAGTGCCACCCCTGCCTTTTTCGCCCATTTCCCTCAAACCGGTGAGATAGTATTCAGCAGAAAATTCCCATCCTCCTCCAACAATTGTTTCACCGAGTCTTTGTCTTTCACTCTGTTCGATCTGGTCTACAGTAGCGGCACACTGTGGCAACAACCACCAGAACTTGTCACCCACCACCCTTGAGCCATACCATCTCATCGGCTTTGGTGCGATTTGTGATCGACTAGCATCGCAAGGCTCCGTCCACTTGCCGCTTGGCTGAACTGCTGTTTTCGTGGACTAAGCCGCACGCCCAGGCCACCATCGCAACCGCACGTTCGAGCGATGCCACCTCCGAACACGCTCAGTAGTTGGCATCACTAGCGGGCTAAACGCTCCCACCACCCGCGCTTGAATACAGTTTCTATCTAGTCCCCAGGTCTAGTCCCAAGCAGGCCTTCATCTCCTCCTGCCTGTCCTTTCCCCTGGCTCTTCTAGCCCTTGTTTCGCGCGACGGGCATCTGCCGCCAGTTGAACGGCTCGCGGAGGACCCAGAAGTCCCTCTACACTAGATAGGTTCCTTGTGGCACGATAGTTATCCACCCCTCGCCCCCGACTCGCTCCCCTGTTGCGGCCGTGCGTTGCTTGCCATACCGGTCATCAGCCTCGATTCCGTCTGGGTCTATCGTATACCTAATACTTCGTCATACCGGGTGGTGGTACATTGATCGTTCCTCACTCCGCCGTCTAGTTTTTTTTCACACCCTGTCTTACTGCAGCCATTATGGTAAGGATTTTTCTCTCTCCGGTCGGCAGCGTCCTGCATGAGCTACATGACCGATCTCCCCGGTCCTTAACTCATTTGTCTCCAATTTCCTGCCGCTGCTCTCTTTCCCTGCACCCCTTCCTCGTGTATGTTGCAAACACACTCTCTACACATCGTCATGCGACATACCCCATCGTATTGAACTATACTTCAATCGGTGTATATCCAGTCAGTATTTCCATGGGCGGTGAAATTAATTGCTTGACAGGAGTTTCACAACGACTTCAACCCTAAAAGGGCTCGAGATCCTTTCGGGGGTGAGACATTGTTTTCCCCATCCTTTGTTCCACTTGCACACGACTGGCCTGTCGAGCTAGCTTCGTTTTCCTACCCCATTCCCATTGTTGCAAATCCAGCAGATTTTAGTAGTAGCTATGCTACTGATGTCTATCCAAACCCTTTTGTGAATGCACCGCATATACGGAAAAGAATAAAGACAGAAACTATGTCACCCAGGATCCCCGCAGATCTAGGTCTCACGCAAGGCCCAGTACAATTGACTGAAGTCGAGAAGCTGGGAAGCGACGGCTTATGCTTCTCGTCAACCTCCACTGGCTGCAATGGAGAGGCTCCTGGCGGCCTGTCTCTTGCCAGACGGATGATGAACCTTGGGTCGATGTTCTGCCCGTGCTGTGGGTTTGATATTTTGTCAATACAGGATGGTAAGGACCTCCCATAATTATCGTTTACTTGTCACTTGGAACTGACACATGGCCAAGGCTATCAAGCCATACCTGAGACGCCTCACACTTCACTTAGTACATCTAGCCCCTACCACATCGAGAAGCCACCTTCAATGCAGGTTATGATTCCCAAGTCGTACAACCCTAATGCTGTGGACTCTGAGCAGCAGGCTCCGTTGTATAGCGACCAGCCAAGTACGCCATTGCCACGACTTTCTGGGTTTGCGGCCAGTGACACGGCCTACCCGCCATTGTTGACGGCAGAGGCATCTAGTAGTCAAGGCCAAGGCTTCATAGGCCCAATCATCAAGGCTGAATCCCCGGTTGGTCCCGACGACCTAGTTTTCCAACCCGAACACCCACTGGACACACCAGTGCCGGCCATACCTTCCTATAGTCAAAACGTTCCTGCACAGGGGGGGAGAGAGGTGGTCTTTCACCAAAGCGAGAACCTCGCTTCTCTCTCCGCCCGGTATAATCCTTCGCCTTCTCACGCTGCCACCAGTAGATCAAGCGCAATTTCCCGGGACCATGCCGCACCACATGAGCACCAGCCAACTTTTGACATACTGCAGCCCAATCAGAGAGGTGGTAAGCGTGGGCCTTTTAAGGATGCGTCTCTGCGGGAGCAGACTGCACAGACAAGGAAGATCGGTTCCTGCATTCGATGCAGGATGCAAAGAATACGAGTAGGTCTCTCACACCGCTGCGTTGTGCTTCCACCCTGGCTGACTGGTCCTTGTACAGTGCGAGCATAATGACGCCGACCCTACGGGGCCGTGTCTGACTTGTAAGAAGGTGGCCAACACAAGGGCCGGCGGCTTCCCGTGTCTACGGCTCAAAATTACAGATGTCAAATGTTACAAGCCCGGCCAAGTCCCTGGCTACGAATGGAGCAAAAGATGGATCAACGCTGTTCCAGGCCCTATCCAGAAGTGGGCATCCACTGAAACCAAGATAATAAAGATCTCGGAAGGGTTTTCTGACGCGACACTTGAAGTTGTGGTCAAGAAGTTCATCCCAATAGAAGGTGACAAGCTGGAAAGAAGTTGGTACCATAATGGAGAGAAGAAGACTGTTTCAATTCCGCCATTCGCGCTAGTGGAATTAGAGACAGTAAAGGCAGCCTACCTACAGCACATCCACCAATCAATGAATCAAGCCTTTGCGAAGATTGTTGGGCGGCGTGGTCTGATATATAGAACCTACCAACAGTCACTCAAACTCTGCAGGAGACAAGCGATGTCAACAGAATCTATGGAGCTTCTGCGCGACACATTCAGGCTTTGGATGGCCGTGAGGCTCTCGACAACATCCAACTTCATTGTGGGAGATGAGACCCTGGGTATGCCCAAGGATATCCTCGATGAAACCAACCCTCACCCGGGGACGATCCCAATCCCTCCGGTCCTCGGAGCTCAGTTGGATTTGATCCTGATTCATCAAATACAGAGCACTCTGAGGCGCCAGGTGCTTGATAAGCTGGAAAAGATTGTTTCGAAAAGAAAGCACAGCACATGGATGGTCTCATACCTCGTTACCTTTGTCTTGTTGCACAACGCTGCCCTCATAACCGCTCACGACGCCGGTTATGCTCGCAAACATGGAATGAAGGTGGGTCGAGTCACTCCGAAAAAAAAAACACTTGAGATGAAAGAAAAGAAAATCAGAGGTGTTACATCTGCGGCTGACACTGCGTTTTGTTGATAGCGTCGATTTGCTCGAGAGGACAAGGTTAGAGAGTATCATGGAGGTCGGTGATATCAACCAGGACACATCTTTTCCTAAATGGCCGGGCTAACACGGAAAACCTCCGTTTAGGTGCCAACATCCTGCTCGCACATTTTCATTACTGCAACAAGAATGTCCATCCTTTCACTGACGGATGCAAGGACCAGGATCTGCGGACGCTTGCAGGCCTGGAAGAAGACCAAATCCGGTTTGTGCATGCGACCAGAAACTACGCGAAGAGGCATCGTAAGTGAACCTGCCCGTCTGAAACCCCTGACAGCCTATAGAGCCGGCGCTAAGGCGGATAACTGCATCTCACAGAACAAGAATGGGAGGGAATCCGTGCGAGGGGTGAAGTTGAGAATGACTACTATTTTGTCAGCCAGCTTTACGACGACAATTGGGAGGTTCGGAGCACGATATAATTGGGTGTCGCATGAAGAAATTGATGAAGCTGCATGGGAAATTTGAAACAACCGGATGCTTGCAGGAGGAATAGGCAACGCAGGACCTGCCATGCTGGAAGTATTTTTTTTTTGTTTGTTTTCGTCACCGCCATCTCACGACTTGAGTCTCTTTCCCAAGAGGCAAGTCCATGACCCATATTGTTGTTACCTTACGCTTCGGGAAATAAGAAAAAAAAGGACCAAAAGCAAAAAAAAATCTCATTATGATGACAAGGTCACGACTTTTTTTTTTTTTTTTTTGTTTTGTTTTGTTTTGTTTTGTCTTGGGTACGCACGGCAGAAGGCAAGGAAGAAAAAGCAAAGGAGTGAGTGTACGTGTAATGATAGGACAAGAATGTAGCACAACACGCACACAAGGTTTCACAGTCACAGTCACAGTCTCTGGCCCGCAGTTGCCATGTGCTCGATGATCGCTTTTTTACCTCCGGCAAGCGATTCCCCGAAGAAGATCTGTCTCGCATGGCTACTTTGTGGAGCATATGCAGAGACAATCATTGCTCGCTCGAGTGCATCCTCGTTTGATAGGCGGGGGCAACAGCACCAACTGTTCCGACCAGGTTGCACCGCAGCCCCCGAGGGCCCTCGCTTCTCAGGTCGCACAAGACGGAGAGCACAGGGCAATGCTTGATTGAATGTGCGGGACGGGTGTGTGTCTCACCAGCTCCGGAGTCGGTCTGGGATAGCTCGCACGTACGCATGCACAGCCAAAAAAAGCAAAAAGCAATGTGAGCCCAGCCCAGGCTTTCTCTTGCTTTCCATCCCAGGACTCTTTCCTACTTCGCCTCTGCCAGATGCCCGTAGCTGCACCATTGATCCCTCCCCATTTCCCCTTCATGGTCTGGCCTTAGCCAAGCCGCCTCCCCACCCAATATACTAACTATAGTATGTAGCTAGCACTGGTGCCACAGGCCGGTGCCCTATTGGCTTACACCCCGTTCACCCTCACACGAACTGAGTTACCGGCGTGCTCCCGCGATCCAGGCTTGTGCGCCCTTGTCACTGTAGGAGGCGGTAGATCGGCAAGCGTCTAAATGAGATGTCTGGAGTGACATGGAGACAGGTTAGTCTGCTCGAGCGAACTCTCACAGGGGGAGGGGAGAGGGGAGAGGGGAGAGGGGAAAGGGGAGAGAGATAATGGCCTGGGCGTATATAGATGCCACGCCCATGTGCAAAGCTGGAATCTAACACTGCATTTTGCTTCTTCCGCCTGCCGCTCTGCATCACGCTACGTATGTTTTCTTTTCTCGCTGGTGCCGACTGAGTTCTCGCCGTCCGCATCCGCTCATTTCGTAGTTAATCTAGCACAAGCCAGGCGGCGTGGTGGAGTACCTCTGCTCTCTCCCGTCGCGTATAGTGTACTTACTACCCGTGATTCGAAGACAAGACAGCTGTGGTGTAGCCAGCAGCCAGCCACTGCCGAGACTTGTGAAACGACACTTTCGGGTGGTACGCGGAAAGAGAAAACCTATCTGGATCATAAGTATCATGGTCAAGGCGACGCCTATATAATCTTCTCCGATGGACGCTCTATTTCCCCCGACTCTCATCATTATCACTTCCTCCTCGCCTCCAACGACTTGGAACTCCAAACTTACCTTGACAACCATCTCTTCTTTTTGACATCCACCACAAGTACAAGCAAGTATGGCATTCTGTGAGGCCCAACCAACCATCCGGTCCGCTCACGTGGAGAAGTTCCCTTCTCTTGTGACAAACACCCCGGGTTTGCCGGGCGGATTCCCCGACTTTGTGGACTCGCCGTTGGCCTGGACTGGAGAGCAGTTCACAGATGAGAACGAGTTCATCCATGTCTTGAGTGATGATGACATTGTCGAGCTCGAGGCAGCTCTTGATCACTTCAAAGGTTCGATATTCACCTCTTCACACTAGAGTGACCACACCACTGACACATAGATCGAGTAGGTCTTGGTCTGGATGGCGATCACATCACCAAGGACACCTTCCCATTGCCCAATCTCGCACACAAGCTTGATATCGTTCGCCAAGATCTCCACAACGGAAAGGGTTTTGGACTAGTTCGCGGATTGGATCCCAAGAAGTACTTGGTTGAGGACTTGACCATGCTGTACCTTGGAATTCAGACTCATGTCGCAAATCAGACCGGCCGCCAAGATAGCAAGGGAAACATGCTTGGTAGGGGACACTTCCGAAATCCTAGGGGCGGGAACCAATGCTAACTAAACGCTCTCCAGTGCACGTCGTTGCTGATAACTCGTCCAAGATCAAAGCTGGACACCATCGCCATTCCACCGATGCGATTGTAAGTGATCTGACTTCATGAAAACTACGAAGAACCAAGTGCTAATGGACCCCTGTGCAGACCTTCCACAATGAGGAGGCAGGTGACATCGTGAGCTGGCTTACTCGAAGCGTCGCAGCTTCTGGCGGCAGGTGTATCATCGCATCTGCCTATGCAGTCTACAACGTTCTAGCTGCTGATCGCCCCGACCTGGTCCGAGCTCTGGCCGGTGCGGATTGGCCATTTGCCCTGTAAGTAGCACCCGAAAGACGTGATGCGCAAACAGTGGCTGATGCTCCCCCTTTCGGTTCGACAGCCCACAATTTCAGTGCCGCCCTGTCTTGTTCAACCACAACGGCCGTCTCATCATCAATTTTGGCAGGACACCGTTGATTGGCAGTGCGAGCCACCCTCGCTCAAGCCAACTGCCAGGACTGAGCCTCCGACAGATGGAGGCTCTCGATGCAGTGGAGGAGCTTGCCAAGAGCTTCCAATTGGAAATCGTCACTCGAGCAGGCGATATCCACTTCATCAACAACCTTGCCATCCTCCATCGCCGTGAGGGCTTCCAGAATGGTGCGTCATCCGGAGAGAAGCGACACTTGGTGCGCATGAGGCTCCGAGATGATGAGCTCGCTTGGGCCCTCCCAGAGGAACTTCAGGAGGAGTGGTCTAGTGCCTTCGACGACACTAAGACACGCAAGGTGTGGCATCTGGAACCCATGCCAGATGGCTACTTTCCGCTCAGAAAACAGGCGAATTAGGACCTCGAAGCAAGAGTGTATGCTAATCTGAAAGCGGGCAAAAGGTCCGCTGGGATAGCGGCCAATCGTGTGCGGCAGAAGATCATGCATTGGGGAGGTTAGTGAGGTATGGTGATGACCCACGATGGGTTAGTTAGACGGCAGACTGGCCGGTGTGTGTCCGTGTGGCGGTTGGTGGGAAGCTGAGTTGTGCGAAGGCGAACAGCAGCAGCATCGTGTGCTATGCGAATCATGTCTCTGGTTTCATGTCAAGGTCTGGCGTCGGGTTGATTTTTCTTTCTGGAAAAGAAAGAAATGGGATCTAAAAGTTAGCTTCTTTTCTTGTATTCTGAATTCATCTTCCATCTTCAACTTTAGATGCCGAGAATATGTGGCTTGATAATAGTGTGAAGCCTCTATCTGGGGTATGTACACCGAACGTGCACATTTCCTTGTCCAAGGAGGAGTGTATCATATCATAAAGCTGATCGATGGCTACTACCAGGCTAGTGCAAATCAAAGTAGCGGTATGGTGCTGTCTACACACCCCCCATCGGGAAATTTCTGAAGGAGTGTGTGTATGCAAAAGACAGATGACGAGAGATGACGAGCCAGAGGCGAGATTAATCTGCTAGAGGGGGGATGCTAAGAAAAAGGTCCTGAGGGTATTGGGGTTTGGAACAAGGACTGCTGCAGCCACAACCACACAGGGTATGGCACCAAAGTCGATGCCGGCCAGTTGGGGTGGAACCTGTAAGCGAGCGTTGTGCCGGAGATGAAACCATCTGAAGATGATGATGACTCGTAATATTTCTCTGTTTGGGCAGGGATCATAGTCAATCAAAAGAAACAGGGTGAGCGGGTAGCTGCAGGTCAACTCCGATAGGAGTTGAATCGAGGAGAGGACTGGACAGACGGTGTCAGTGTAAAAACATTGCTGTAGTCGGGGCTTTACAATATTGACGGCATCTGAGACAAATTTTTTTAGGGGGACAAGAAGGCTGTGCGTAATCCTAGCAGTCCTGCGGGCTAAAAGCACAAGGAGAGAGAGACTGGCGGATGTCACAGTGTCGTGTGGCATAGTGTGTATGTGCGTGTGCAGGTAGATGTGCATGTAAATGTGCATGAATGTAGGACGTACATACCTGCGATTGTCTCTCCCAAGTGTAAGCTGAAGTTGAACGAAACCAACGACATCATGATCCATGAGTGCGGTCGTCTCGCGTGGCCAGATTGGCCAGTATGTCCAGACTAGGCGGCGCTCGCTGTGCCGTCATGTGGTGCTGTGTCTTAGATTTGTCTTGGCGACGAGCATTTGCTTGAAGGGCCATCCTGCTAACCCATGGGCTAGTCGATATCCATCTCGCTCCCATCGTGGACAGCGCTTCCTGGTTCCCAGCCGGTGGGAGAGACGATGCCTGCTGCTCCCGGGAATGCATCTAGCGTAGACGTCTCCTATCGAGGGCGGTGACTCCAGGCCATCAAGACAGATAAGGCTGGGCTGCCTGCATCCATGTCACGAATAGGGGGGCACTGCGTGTCGGGTGATGTCTTGCGTTGTGCAAGCCAGTATTTGCTTTTGTTGTCGTTGGCTGTAGCTTGCGTGAGCTTGGGCTAGGCCGGGGGTTGGGAGGTTCTCGGGATGCCTCCATTGGGGAACGTGGAGTTTTGGGGAAGGTGCGGCCCACCATGACTAGGCAAGCCCTAGGTGAAGTTGTCGCAAATGATAGGCAAGAGCGACCAGTACCAGTCAAGAGCCATCTACCTGGCAGCCAAAGTACCCTGCTAGGCGCTGTTGTTGCTCCTTGCTGGCTCAAAGGTACTAAGACAGTCCTTGGCTACGGGCTTGGGAGCCACTAGCGATGACTTCCGGCGATGGCGGCATCTGGTTGGTTCAGGCTCGGTCAATACCTCTTGCCTGTTTGCTTTGGCCTGACTGGGGTATCCAGGGTATG